GTTCACATTATGGAAAGAACTAATTATTTTAGCCTTTTTTTGTTGTTTTGTTTTAAAATGTTTTTCTAATGTTTAAAAGCCAGTATTTTTTTACCATCTGGCAGAGTTTAAATAGCCTTTTTCATCAGCCTGGACAACTCATAAAGAACAGAAATATTTTGCAATTACTTGAAGAGCCCTTTGAACATACTGCTGTAAGTATACATTGGGGAGGATTGCAGGAGATTGTTAGGAACAAAGTAACCTAAAACAGATGATCAAACAGAAGGCTTTTTCCAATCTTGACATAGTCCTAAACTGAATTCCCCACACATGCATAACTTCATCAGAATGAAACCCCACTGGAGTACTAGAGCACAGAATGGTACATAAACTCAGAACAGGACGGGAAGTTTGGGATCTGATGATGATGATGACTTCACTGGTTTTTCTTTGTATAAATTGTAAGCATAAGTCCTCGAGAGGGATTGCCCATCCTTTTGGACAGTTTCTTCAGAGAGTATGGTAGTACTTGATTCTGGAGACTGTCAGCATAAGCAACATGAAAGGAGTAAGCCTCTTGTAGGCAAGTTGCTAATCCCAGTTGATGGACGTCTTCATTTTAACCCACAAACAATTTGCTTAAGAGATTTATAAATACTGGTATCATGACACCATGTTGCAGGAATCAAGTGGCTGAGGCAACCTTGACTAGATTTTCACTGCTTGAATCAAGGTCCTCTCACATTTCCACACTGACATAGATGGTGAGGGTAAAGGGAGGCTGCAAGGTGGTATAAAGTGGTGTGTATAGAGTGACCTTAAATTGGAGCTGGGCCAATGCACAGGGAATGCATCAAATTTCTTTCCTATAATTATCCATCAGGAACTTCTGCCCTGCTTTACATCAGAACTTCCTTCAATATTAATCAAAATTCTGTGCAGACACTTATGTTTTCTCATAGTTCTTCACTTCTTGAATAACCCAAAGTTCCTGGTGAAGAAGACTCCACAGGAAGAGACTCCTGATCCTCTTTGTTCCAATAGCTGCTCATTAAAAGTCCATAGGGAACTGGCAAAGCAGGGAGAGAACTAAGTCTTGGGCAAGTTAAATATGCTTGACAGTCTGCAGTAAGGAGTAAGGAAACTTCAGAACTAAGTGGCAATGAGAGAATAACAAAGAAAGCCCCCTGCATCTTACAAATTATGTGGGCAGGAAGTTCAGAAGAGATGCATGGATTCAGGGACAGGCTCAGTTCCACAGCAGCACACAATGAGGCTGCAATTGTACTGCAAAGTAAGTTTTTTTCAGAGGTAGATAGTAGATCAAAGGCATGTCCAGTGGTTAAGTACAGTTTAGCTGCCTGTGCTGGACTCCTATAGTCCAAGGATTTTCCAAGGTGCATGGCCAAATGGCACAGTGGCAGTCATAGGCTCAGACATGCCTCAACCATCAGCAGTCACCCTGCATTTAACTCTTGAAGACTTTTACCAGTTATCATGGTGAGACCCAAGGCATCATCATATTAAATGTGTATTTGACAGAAAAAATGTTTCTAAACAGAAGTAGATGGAAGATTTCTGAATGGATGTTCTATTTGTTAAGAAAACACAGATAAAGGAAAAGAAAACAAAAAAGTCTGAAAATAAAGTCTGGTTTCAGCAGTCCTTTTGAGAATGAGGAACCTGTCCTACAAGTCCTGGCAATTGGATATGTGACTAATGAGCAAGCCCACAGCCAGCTGAGAAAATTAAGGTGCCTGACACAGCTCCCTAGCACAGAGCCTGCAACCAAACCTCAGGGCCTGCCAGACAGGTCTGTGGTAACCACACATTAACTCAGACATGACCACTCAGCTCTGAATCTCTGTCCCTGGTTTTGCATGCTGAAACAGAACAATACAAGCCAAAAAGCAAGTAGCTAACGCTAGCAGATGAGAGAGCTGTCATCAAAAGATTTCAGAGCCCTTTTTGAAGGAAGCAAATAACTCAGTATGCAAGGAGGGAGATCCTTTGGCACAGCATAGAGATGTGACCTGCTTGGCATTACCCAGGCTCAGAAAAACCCTTAACTTAAATCTCCTTAACTGTTCACAATGGCTTATGCCTGTAAGCAGAAAAGCCTAAAGGCCTGTTGGGAGCAGAGCTGGGCATTCCCTCTTTCATGCTAAAAAGCATCCTCCACCCCAAGCCCTCTCTGGAGTGAAAGGCCATTGTGGTACCTATAGCATCACCTTTCAGATGGACTACAGCTTGATCTTGAGAGATCAAGAACTTGCACACAAAATCCTTGGCTTTGTTTTTTTGTGGCTGGAATGAAACCCCAGTTCCAGTGCTTCATTGTATTGAGAAAAATTTCTACATCTTTTCTTTTAATTCTTTGAATAATTTTTTTCCAGTTTACTGTCTTTAACTGTCACATAACATGAGTATTCTATAATAGGTGCTAAATATTTTTGTTGTTGTTATTATTACTCCTTCGCAGATGACAAGTCTGAAGAAAAGAGCAATAGAAATACTAAGGAGACACATCTCAGAATTGATTTTTGAGTGCAAATATAATTTCTGCTTTCTGGCCTATATGGTGACACATATCTACATAGACTTGTGAGCCAGTCATCATGTAGCCAGCAAGTTCTGTGCATTGTGAGGATGCATCTTGTAGCTCTACATGGAAGGGACTGGACCTTCCCAATGGGGTGATTTTTGGTTTGTTTAGTTTTAATGGGAAGTACAGGAAGAAGAGAAAAAAAAAATCACTTAGGCTGGGAAGTAAAGAAAGTTTTCAGATGTTGAGAATAGAAACTTTCCGTTCTGTCTCAATAGATTTAAAGAAGGCTTGCTCCAAAACATCACAAGTATCTCAAGATAAGCTGTGCTACTTCTCACCCAGCTCCAAATAGCCACAATGACTCTACTTACCAGAATGGATGGGACTACCTATTGTAAGGCAGCCACACATATTCCTCATGTTGCTGACTGAGGCTTATTGAAAGGCTGGGTCTTTTGCTTAGTGTCATACCACCAGCTATTTTTATCAGAATTTCGGCTCCCATTTTCTGTATCCCCATGCTAGAGACCATCCAGGACAATCTGCTCCTGGACCTGCTGTTCAGCTCCTCCGGGTTTGCATTTGTAATGTATTGGAGAGGGTTGATAAACACAGGCATATGTGAAGAGCAACGGCAACAAGAAATCCTTGCCTATGAAGAACTTATTTAAACTGACATAAATCTCAAGAAAATTCTTCTCCTGGGAGCAGAAGTGTCAGAATCAGCCATTCAGGTTTTGCTTTACAATCTAGACAGGTTATGGGGCAATGAATGAGCACTCTGAATCCACCAAGAAAGCTCTTGCAGGAAAACTTAACCCTAAACTCCCTCCTATAAAGATTCCTACTAAAAGCATATTGAAAACAAAATTTAAAATACTCTACTAGTTTTTCCTATAAGATCTCTTGACTTGTGTTAGGAAAGCTGGACAAGGAAGGGGCAGTGAGGAATACACTGATGTGTAGCAGTAGAATCAAGGAAGGATGGCTTTGAGCTTATATCTTAGAGACAAGACAGATATTTTACCTTTCAAAGTACACAGTAAGCAGTGACTTTATTTCACTGCTGCAGGTAAAGGATTTTGTCTTTTCCCAATAATCCCACAGCTTTCTCCTGAATTTCCTTCATAATTTTTAAAGTTCCTATTTTTTGTTTTAGTAATTTGATGTTTCATTCCAAATTAGTAGTGTGGATTTACTCACTGTACTACTTGGAACTTCATTCTGTTTGTACCAATTCAATTCCTTACTGTTTGTTTTAATTTGCTAACATTTACAGAAAGGACTCTATATATAATTAATAAGGATGGAACCAATAGAGAATTGGTGTTCCTAAGAGCCTAAGTATGTCCCTTGCAAGTCAGTTGCTGGTTCTCAGATTCACTCGGTATTTTCTTACAAAATCCTACAGTGC